AGGAGGAGGAGGAGGAGGAGGAGGAGGAGGAGGAGGAGAGGAGGAGGAGGAGGGAAGGGAGGAGGACGAGGAGGAGGAGGAGAGGAGGAGGAGGAGTAGGAGGAGGAGGAGGAGGAGGAGGAGGAGAGGAGGAGGAGGAGTAGGAGGAGGAGGACGGATAAGGTGGAGGAGGACGACGAGGAGGAGGAGGAGGAGGAGGACGAGGTCGAGGAGGAGGAGGAGGAGGAGGAGGAGGAGGAGGAGGAGGAGGAGGAGGTGGAGCAGGACGAGAACGTGGCCTTCCCTCGTGAGGTCGGGAACGAGCCGGCGGAGGCAGGATCCATGGCCGAGGCCCGTGGGCAGCGGCGCGTCGGCAGGCGTGGCAACGGAGCGGCGCTCGAGGGGGAGGAGCAGGCAGGGCTCCAAGCGACCATCGCTGCGGTGCCAAGGGGTGGCCGTGGAGCCTGCAAGGGGCATGCCAGCGTGCGAGGTGGGGCATGGAGGAGGAGGAGGAGGAGGTGGAGGATAAAATGGAGGAGGAGTAAGCAGCAGGAGGAGGAACAGGAGGAGGATGAAGAGGGGGAGGAGGAGGAGGAGCAGGAGGAGGAGGACGAGGAGGAGAGCTCTTGAGGCCAGTTGAAGCTCTCTTGGGGCGCTCTTGGAGCGCTCTTGGGCGCTCTTGGGGTCGTTTTGGGGCCCTCTTGGGCCTCCCTTGGGGCCCTCTTGGGCCATCTTGAAGCCATCTTGAGGCCTCGGATGGCCATCGGAAGCGAAACGGCGAGAAAGCACAACACATGTTCTAGGTTTTGGAAGGATGTTGGCTTCTTCGGGGCCTCCTTTGGGAGCTCGGGGAGCTCGTTGGCCGCTTGGAGCTGTCTTGGGGCGGTCTTGGGGCCTCTTAGGGCGCTCTCGGGGGCGTTCGGGGCGTTCTTGAAGCCAAGTTGGAAGACACCGATCAAAACAGAGGGGAGCTTCAATTAGCGTCCCACTTCGGGAGCCCCAATCATCGCCTCTTAGGAAGCTCTTGGGGCGCTCTTGGGCGCTGTTGGGGCCGTCTTGGGGCTCCCTTGGGCCTCTCTTGGGGCCCTCTTGTGCCATCTTGGAGCCATCTTGAGGCCTCGGAAAGGCTATCGAAAGCTAACGGGCGACGATGCAACAGACATGGATTTTCCTGCGATGGTGGAAGGGTTTTGGCTTCTTGGAGGTCTCCTTGGAGGTCTCGGGGGCCTCTTGGAGCCGTCTTGGAACTTTCTCAGGCCCTCTTGGAGCATGCCTGGGGCCATCTTGAGGCATCTTTCGCCATCTTGGAGCCCTTGGAGCCGTTTTCGGCCATCTTGGATGTTCCGACCGCTCGCGAACCCCCCCGTCCAGGTCCAGGGGCGAGGGCAGGAGGAGGCGTAAGACCCTCCCCGAAGGGGATGGGCGGTCGGAAGAGGAAGCGCCGTAAGACCCGCTACGCCCAGAGGGCCGGCGGGATTGGCGCAGCGGCGCCGACGGCAGGGTTCGCAGCTCGATTGGTCGGAGGTTGATAGATCTCCTACCCTGACTCGTCGATTAGCGAATTGGCTGTTTTCGGTTCGCGAGAGGGCGTCGAGGCAGTCATTTTTGCGGGTCCAGGTCCGTCGGTTTCGGTCCCAGGCCGTGTTCACTAAAGGGTGGTTTACTAAAGGGAGGTTTGTCCACCGCCGAATTGGGCCCAGGGAGGGCAGAGCGCCAGCGCGCCTCAGGGGCCGCACGGGGTGGCGCCCGAGCATCGGCACGCGCGTCGGGGTGCGCGGCTGCGGGCCACGTGCACCCGGGAGAAGGCCCCCCCCAGAAAGGGTGACAATGATAGCACGATGCGAACCCTACCCCTACCCCCCACGATTTCTGAGGGGGAGGGTGGGTTCACTTCGTTCGGGAGCTCCCGAGCGAAGTGAACCCCACCCTCCCCCTTCAGAGATCGTGGGGGGTAGGGGTAGGGTTCGCATGTGGCTTCCTGCGCTGGCCAGACAGGCAATCTTCTGTATGAGCTGACCGCAGTGGGGGCGGGCCATGGTGCATCCGCAGTCTTCCGTGACGTGAGGAGCACCTCGCATTCGTCTTTGGGAGTCCAGGGCGTGGGCGCGCGATGCGGGCCTGCTCACCAACATCTTATGTGGCGGATCCAGTGCAAGTCGCCCAGTAAGGGTGCTGACAAGCAGCGCAAGTATTCGGAGAAAGTCCACCTGCGAGCGCGGACTGTGCTGGCCAGGGTGGCTATCCGCTGGTCATGTCCGTCGGGCCAGCACGCGGAAGGAGCCGCAAGCGTTTTCGCCAGAGGCGCGTTGTTGTGTTGGGTCGTGGCCCCTGCGAATCTGCCCGACACAATGCGAATGCATAGAAAGAGGGGAGGAAGGATGAAGAGGGAGCGCAAGTACGAAGAGTCGGAGCAACAGGAGAAACGATGCAATTAGTAGGGGGATTTATCATAGCATTGTTAATCTTAGTTACTGGGGTGGATGAGGAGTCGGTGACGCTAGTTCGTAGCTATGGGGCGCTTGTTTATTGAAATGAGTATCGAAGACGCCTACGGCGAATCACCGCCGCCCCCTGCCTTTTTGGAAGCGCCTATGTGGCCGAACGTTGAGGCCAGACCTGCCAAGCTATCGGACCATGTGTTCCCCGAATCGGTTTGGAAAGCCTTCGGGGAACACGTGGGCATCTTGAAGGTCATCTTGGCCGTGTGGAGGCCATTTTGACTCTTTCGGGTCTTCTTGGAGGACGTCTTGGAGGGCTCTCGGGCCGTCTTGGGGGCCTTTTGGGGCCGTCTTAGGCCTCTTGGGCGATCTTTGGGGGCACTTGGGCCGTCTCGGGCCGTCGGAAGGCCGAACAAAAAGAAAATGCCACAATTCTTCAACAACTCATGGGAAATAAATGCTTTTGGCCTTTTCGGCCCTTCCTAGAGGCCCTCTCGGGAGCCTCTTGCGCCGTCTTTGGCTATCTTCGGGCCATCTTCAGCCGTTTTGGTGGGCTCCTGGCCCGTCCGACGCCGTCGGAAGCTTTTTGGGGGGCCCCTCTAGGCCGACTTGGGGCCCTCTTGGAATGCTCCAGGGCCGTCTTGGAGGCCATCTTGGGCGTCTTAAAAGCCTCTTGGGCCGTCTTTGGGGCCTCTTGGGGCCGTCTTGGGAGCTTCTTGGGCCGTTCTGGGGCCATCTTGGAGGCCTTTGGGCGATCTTTGGGCGATTTTTGGGGGCCTCTTGGGCCGTCTCGGGCCGTCGGAAGGCCGAAAAGAAGCAAATGTCAAAATCCTTCAAACACCTATGGGAAATTAATGTTTTTGGCGTTTTCTGGCCTTCCTAGAGGCCCTCTTGGAGGCCTCTTGGCCCGTCTTGGGCCAGCTTCGAGCCAACTTCGGCCATCTTGGTGGGCTCCTGGCCCGTCTGACGCCGTCGGAAGCTGTTTGGGGGGCCTCTCTGGGCCGACTTGGGGTGCTCCAGGGCCGTCTTAGAGGCCATCTTAGGCGTCTTGGAGGCCTCTTGGGTCGTCTTTGTGCCCTCTTGGGGCCGTCTTGGGGGCCTCTTGGGCAGTCCTGAGGCCATCTTGGAGGCCTCGTTGACGATCTTGGGGCGATCCGTCGGAATGCCGAGAAGAAGCAAATGCCCAAATCCTTCAACACCCTAAGGAAAATCAACGATTTTGACCTCTTCGGGCCCTCCTGGAGGACCTCTTGGGGGCTTCTTGGGCTGTCTTGGAGGCTTCTTGGGCGAACTTGCGTATCTGGGACCCTCTTGGGCCGTCTGGGAGGCCGTCGTAGACCATCTTGGGCGAGCTTGAGGGCCATCTTGGTTGTCTTGGAGGCCATCTTGAGCCGTATTGGAGAATTTTTTGCGGACGTTGAGGTCGTTTGCGGGCCTGGAGCTCCCTCCCGGGACCCTGGCGGGACGCGCCGGAGCCCCAGGGGGAGTGCTTTTGGAAAAGAACCAAAACCAAAACCGAAATCATCTAGCACGCCGGGCACCCCTGTGATGAATCAACTGGGGGCGGCGGATATCGTGGCCTGCGGCTCATCACGCCACCGTGCCCAGGTTGTGGGTCAGTGGCCTCTTAGATACATATGAGGGTCTCTCGGGATGCCTCTCGTGGGCTCGTGGAGGCCCCTTACGGGGCTCTTTGGGGCTCCTTGCGGGCCTCTGGGGCCGCCTGGAGGCCTCTTGGAGCCTCTCGGAGGCTCTGGGGGACCTCTGGAGGGATCTTGGAGCCATTTTGGGGTGGAGAGCTCGAAATGCCACTTCGCATTTCACCTCTTCGGCCCCTCTTGAGGCCGTCTTGGGAAGGCTTGTGGGTTAATCTTTGGGCCACCTGGGCCGTCTTGGGGCCCGCTTGGGGCGATCATGCTGAAAGCAGGGTTGGATGGTGTTGGCGTCTTGGAGCCCTCGTGGGGGTTATCTCGGGGCGTCTTGAGCCGTCTTGTGGCCATCCGGGGCGTCCTGGAGCGCCATTGGGCCGCCTCGGGCGCTTTTTGGAATGTGTTGGTGGCATCTTGGGCTCCTTTGGATCCATTTTGGGGGCGGGTCTCTCGCTGGCACTTGCGACAAGCCCCGAGAGGCACGCGACAAGCCCATGAGGCACGCGCTATACCCTGGGGAATCTGGCACCTTGGGGTCCAGGCCCCTTCAGGGCATTCGGTCACTCAGGGCAGAGAATTCACCGGACCTGAGGACACTCCACCTCGTGCCTCGCGGCACGGTGGCGAATGTCGTTAGTAACGAGGGATGTAGCAACAAACGGCTGACACTTCCCACCACAGGCGCCTTGCTGCCAGGAGAGCCGCCCTCACCTTGGATAAAGCAACGTTGTGTGGGTCATAACCGATGTGACGGTTTGGTGCCGCTTGTACCCACTTCACCGTGCTGCCCCCTTCGGGCTTCCCGAGTTTGGCCACGCGGCCTGGGCGAGAGCTCCCGCGCCGTCCCGGCCCAGCTGCGGCCGCCTAGCTGCGGCGCCTCTCCGCACCTGCACCGAGAGAGAGAGAGCCCGCCGCAGCCCGCGTGCGCGGAGAGGTCGTGGGCGTCGCCGTGGTCGCTTTCAGCGTCAACGCGGACCCGGAGGCCCTGATCGCACAGGCGGGTGGCTCGGGATGGCCCTCGGTGGACGAGGCCCGCCGTCGGCGTGGCTCCGGGCCCAAGAGCCTCTGCCTCCTCGCTTCTTCCTCTTCTGTTCCTTCTCTTCTCCGTCCCTTGTCGCCCCTCCTCTCACCTTCCCCCCTCTTCCTTTTCTCCCTCGTCTCTCTCTCTCTCTTTTCCCCCCATCTTTTTTTCCTGCTTCCTTCTCTCTCTCTCTCTCCCCCGCTCTTCTCCTCTCTTCTCCCTCCTCGTCCCTCCCTCTGGCGACCATCTTGGGCCGTCTTTGGGCCATCTTTAGGGTCCAATGGAGCCATTTTGGACTCCTTTTTGGCAGTCGTGGGGCCTTCTTTGTGCGTTTTGGGGATCTCTTTGGTCGTCGTGGGCTGTCAGACGCACCCCATAGCGAAGCCGTTAAAATCATTGAAGCACCTAAGACAACTCAGTGTGGTGGCCCCTGGAGACTCTCTTTAGGGTGCTCTTGGGGCCCTCCTGTGCCGCCTTTGGAGCCTGGTCGGCTGTCTTGAGGTCGTCATGGTCCGTCTTGGGCCGTCTTGGACCTCAACAAGAGGCCTCAGGGGCCGAACACACACCCACACCCACACACACCCACACCCACACCCACACCCACACCCACACCCACACCCACACCCACACCCACACCCACACCCACACGCACACGCACACGCACACGCACACGCACACGCACACGCACACGCACACGCACACGCACACGCACACGCACGCGCACACGCACACGCGCACACGCACACGCACGCACACGCACACGCACACGCACACGCACACGCACACGCACACGCACACGCACACGCACACGCACACGCACACGCACACGCACACGCACACGCACACGCACACGCACACGCACACGCACACGCACACGCACACGCACACGCACACGCACACGCACACGCACACGCACACGCACACGCACACGCACGCGCACGCGCACGCACACGCACACGCGCACGCACACGCGCACACGCGCACGCACGCACGCGCACGGCACGCGCACGCGCACACGCAACACGCCACACGCACACGCACACGAACACGCACACGCACACGCACACGCACACGCACACGCACACGCACGCACGCACGCACGCACGCGCACGCACGCACGCGCACGCGCACGCACACGCACACGCACACGCACACGCACACGCACACGCACACGCACACGCACATGCACACGCACACGCACACGCACACGCACACGCACACGCACACGCACACGCGCACGCACACGCACACGCACACGAACACGCACAGCACACGCACACGCACACACGCACACGCACACGCACACGCACACGAACACGCACACGCACACACGCACACGCACACGCACACGCACACGCACACGCACTCGCACACGCACAAACACACAAACACGCACGCACACGCACACGCACACGCACACGCACACGCACACGCACACGCACACGCACGCACGCACGCACACGCACACGCTCACGCGCACACGCACACGCACACGCACACGCACACGCACACGCACACGCACACGCACACGCACACGCACACGCACACGCACACGCACACGCACACGCACACACGCACACGCACACGCACACGCACACGCACACGCGCACGCACACGCACGCACACGCACACACACACACACGCACGCACACGCACACGCACACGCACACGCACACGCACGCGCACGCGCACGCGCACGAGCACGCGCACGCGCACGCGCACGCGCACGCGCACGCGCACGCACACGCACACGCACACGCACACGCACACGCACACGCACACGCACACGCACACGCACACGACGCGCACGCGCACGCGCACGCGCACGCGCACGCGCACGCGCACGCGCACGCGCACGCGCAGGCGCAGCACGCGCACGCGCACGCGCACGCGCACGCGCACACACGCACACACGCACCACACGCACACACGCACACACGCACACCACGCACACACGCACACACGCACACACGCACACCGCACACCCGCACACGCGCACCCGCGCACGCACGCAGCACGCACGCACGCACGCAAGCCGCACGCACGCACGCACACACACACGCCCACACGCCACACACGCACGCACACGCCACGCGGACACACGCACACCACACGCACCACACGCAACACACACGCCCACACACGCACCACACACGCACACACACGCCACACACACAACAACACACACAACCAAACACACACAACCACACAACACACACACACACCCACACCCACACCCACACCACAACACACCCACACCCACACCACACCCCCACACACACACCACTCACCACAACACCCACCACACACGGCACACACGCACACAACACACCCCACACCCACACCCACCACCCAACACCCACACCCACACCCACACCCACACCCACACCCACACCCACACCCACACCCACACACACACACACACACACATTCATTCACATTCACACACATTCACACACACACACATTCACACACATTCACACACACACACTTTTGTTTTGGTAGTGCTTTTCACGCCTGGTAAAGGAGCCCGGCCCCCCTAGATCGGTTGACCATCGTTTCCCCCATCATCGGCCCCCCTCCGTGGCTTCTGACCGTGAATCGTGTAAAGCTTTTTAGGATCTTCTGCCGCAAGGGTATAGTTGGCCCCGTCGCGCCCCTTGATGCATGAGGAATGTGGTGGTGCCGTCAGCTGGTGTGGGACTGCTCCTCTCCTCTCCTCTCCTCTCCTCTCCTCTCCTTTCCTGTCATCTTCCTTCCCTCTTTTCCGTTCCTCCCGAGTCGACCATCGGGCCTTTGCCTCTGGGTGCCACCCCACTCTGCCGCCCCTCGTTCATCCTCTTCTCGTCCCCCTCCGCCTTCTCCCCGCTCCTTCTGCTCCCCTGCCCCTTCTCCCTTCTCCCCCCCCTCTCTCTCTCCTGCGCCCTTCTGGCCCTCTTCACCCCCGCTTCTGCCCCTCCTCCCGCCCCCTGGGTGGCCCCCTCGTTCTGCCCGCCTGCTGCCACGGCAGGTCGTGGCGCCGGTCGCCAGCTGTGCGCTCGCGCCGGAGACGTGCCTGATGCACTGCGGTGCCGACAGCTGCCAGGAGTTCGGCACGTCAGCGGAGAGGCCCTGACGCCGCTGCCCGCTGGAGGGGCGGGCAGCGGGGAGGGCTCCGCTGCGTGCGCAAGTGCGGCCGCTCTGTGCGCAAGCCTGGCTCAGCTCCGCTTTCTCGTGTGAGTAGTAGGGGGAGGGGGGGCGCAGGGGGTGGGAGGAGGAGGAGGGGGAGGAGGAGGAGGAGGAGGAGGAGGAGGAGGAGGAGGAGGAGGAGGAGGAAGACGAGGTGGAGGAGAACATTGAGGAGGAATGAGCAGGAGGAGGAGGAGGAGGAGGGGGAGGAGCAGGAGCAGGAGGAGGAGGGGGAGGAGCAGGAGCAGGAGGAGGAGGAGCAGGAGGAGGAGGAGCAGGAGGAGGAGGAACAGCAGGAGGAGGAGCAGGAGGAGGAGGAGGCGGAAGAGAAGGAGGATGAGGATACAACGGGCTGCTTGCTTTTCGTGTGGGTGCCCCGATTAGGCCATCTCTGTAGCCTATCTTGTTCTTGGACGCGTTCGGTTCCATCGCCTTGCACTCTTCATGATGGCATGATGATCCTGGTCTGGCCGAACAGACTCAGGGCCAGACTGATTGCGAGCCAGCTGGCCGCATTTCAACGCTTTCACCAGTGCCGTTTGATGTCACGTGGCTTTCCACACGAGGCGTTCCCCAAAGGGCCTTGCCTTCGAGGATCGAAGGAGTTGTCATCTCTTCCGAGGCGGAAGGCAGCGGAAGATCGGCCGAGGGCGGCGGAAGTAGAACGGCGGCGCCGCCGCCGGCTGAAGGCGGCGGAAGCTCGGCGGAGGCTGGCGGAAGCAAACGTGCCACCCTCACAGAAGTGGGGGGTGCTCGAGGGCGGGGTTTTGGAGCTCGCGTCAGCGGAAAAGCCCGCGAGTCGTATCGCCCGTCTACCTGCGCCTCCTGGGGTCCCGACCTGGCCAGACGTTGGATCGCGCCGAAGCGACCGTTTCGTTTGAGTCTTTTCCATGAGGCCCACCACGCAACTTCCTGCGACAAAAGGGAGTGGTGCGCGCAAGAAGAAGACGAAGAAGAAGACGAAGAAGAAGAATAATAATAAGACAAATAATAAGCAAAAGTTGACCTCCCAAGAGATGACAACGTTTTGGGGTTCAGGGTTTCCGAAATCCGCCGCACGTGTTCAGCTGTGCGGAGGCACCACTCTCTTGTGCAGGCTGCCAGGCCTGCCGCGCCCGCCTCTCGGTGCGGGCGCTCCGTCCCTGGTCGCTCTCGCGCCGCAGTCGTTCGCGTGCGCTGCTTCGGCTGACAGCGCGGGAGGCGACGACGCAGTAGTGTTGTCCATAACGGAGCCAGCAGTGCAGGGCTCGTTTCGATTCCCTCGACTCGATTCGACTCGATTTCGATGGCCTCCGATTCCGATTCGATTCGGCTTCGGATTCCGATTTCGGCTCCGATTCCTCAACGGAGGCCGACCAGCCTGCCGATTTCACCCGATTCGACTTCTCCCGACTTGGCTGCCGATTTCCGCCGATCCGATTCGTTTCGATCGCCGACCCGACTTGACGATTCGATTCTGGGCTCTCCTGGCAGTGATGCCTGTGTTCGCATCTCTTGTGGGTGGTCGTCCTGAGCTCAGGCTGGCCACGGAACGTCATTCTCGATGATGCTCAGGTGCTCGAGGCAGTGCAGTGCCCGCCACCGTGCTCGGGCAGCCCTCTGTGCGTTCGGCGCTTAGAGGGCTGTAGCATGCGCCAGCTCTGGCTTGGAGTCAGAGGCTGTGCGCCACTCCGCCGCCCCCCCCAGCAGCAGGGGGATACATGCGGCTTCCGATGTCGCACCCGTTGTTTGCCGCTTCTCGTCGTACTACCTGCGTCTCGTTGTTGCTGATTTGTCTTCCTCCTCCTCCGCCGCCGCCGCCGCCTCCACCTCCTCCGCCGCCGCCGCCTCCTCCTCTTCCTCCTCCTCCTCCTCCTGCTCCTCCTCCTCCTCCTGCTGGTTTTTCCTCAATCTTCTCCTCCTCCTCCTCCTCCTCCTCCTCCTCCTCCTCCTTCTCCTCCGCGTGTGCTGCGGGGCTTCTTGGGGGCCTCTTGGAGGCCTCGGGGACGGCCTCGTACAGGAGCCTCCTCAAAGCTCCTCAGGGCCTTTGGGGGGTCTTCCGGAGGCTCCTTGGGGGCTTTTCGGGGCGATGTTGGGAGTCTTGGGGGCCCTCTTGCGGGGGAGGGCTCCTAGGCCCCCTGCTCTTTCCCCTTCTTGGGCCTCTCTTGTCAGGCGATCGCAAACATGGATCAAGGCGGCGTGGATTAGCGACGGGTCTCGTTTCCATGGGAAATCGCGGATTTCCGCCGCCGTGCGAGGCGGCACCGGCCACATTTTAGGGAGGGCGCTTCCCCCGATCCATGGATTTGGCGACCGCGCGCCAAATCCATGGATCGCTAATCCATGTTTGCGCGCCCCCGACTCTTGGGTCCCTCTTGGGGCCCTCTCGAATGTCTTTCTGGGGCCGTCTTGGGTCCCCCCTACAGTGGAGACCCATGCCAAGAATCAGCCTGCTTGCCTCCTGGGTGCCTTGGGTGTCTGGGGTTTAGATGGTTGTTTTATGGAAAGCGTGATGTTCCCACGCCGAAAACCAATGGACGTCCTGGGGTTTCAGGGTTGGGCTCCGTGTGGAAGGCTTCGTTTGGTCGGGCCCCTGGGGCTTCTTGTGGAAGGCTTCTTCCGTGGGCTGTCTTGGGGCCTTCCTGGGCCGCCTCCGGGCTCTCATGGGGCCCTTTCGGGCCGTCGCGTGGCGGTCTGGGGGGGGGCCGCGCGGGCCGCCCGCGCACAGCCCTCCGCGAGCTCGGGCGCCAGGCTTGCGCCGCGACGTGGCTGTACCCCCAGGCCCCTGGGGAGCCCCCAAACCAGGTGGTGGTGATGATGGGCCTGTTTTCCACCGCCACCACCACAAGTTGGTGGGGGAGGGTGTCCTCCTCCTCCTCCTCCTCCTCCTCCTCCTCCTCCTCCTCCTCCTCCTCTTCGTCCTCCTCCTCCTCGTCCTCCTCCTTCCCCCCGCCAACTTATGGTGGTGGTGGTGGAAATCAGGCCAGGCCCATCAGGTGAGACATCCGGTGGTGACCCAGAGTCCCCAGAAAGTCACCGCCGGATTTTGGCGCACGGGGTCACCGCCGGGTTTGCATGGCTCCTGGGCCCACCAGCGTTCGGAACATCCTCGAGAAACCACGGGGGTCCCCAAACCAGGTGGGGACGCCAGATCGCCCGAGACTCACCGCTGGGTGTTGTCACCACCACGTTTGGGGACTACCAAGACCCCCAATGTCAAAGTCCGCGCCGAAACTGGCGACTTCGATTTTTCGTCGCTCCTCTCTGGCCGCGCGGCGCGCGTCCCTGGAACTTGAAACTGAGGGTTCGGGGAGTTGTAGAAAATTTGCGTTTGATTTTGCGGAGGGTGGACGGCCCCCCATGCCTCCCTGCCGCAACTTCTCGGCGACGGCGACGTCGAGGGCAACGGCGAGTCGGGGTCAAGCAAGGACGTGAGACAGCAAAGGGAGTCCTCGCGCGCGCGCATGCTGGGGTCGAGCAAGGACATGAGACCGAAAGGGGAGCCCTCGCGCGCGCATGCTGGGTCATGAGACAGCACTTTGTCTGGCGACAGCAGAAGTGGCGTGCAATCAGGCGAGCTCAGCACGGCGCTCGCCCACTGCGCGCATCTGGTGGGCGTTGAACTCTCGGCGCAGGTTGCGAGCCGCAGGTGCCGACCCGGAGACGCGTGGTGGCGCCTGGGGGCGCCTCCAGAGCGCCTGGGGCGCTCGCAGGCGACCGGGAGCCTCTAGGGGGGGGGGGCCTGGCAGGGCTTCGAGAAGCACAGGGGGGCGCTTGAGAGCGCGCTAGGAGAGCTTCGTGCGAAGTGTTGCGTCTGTGTTCGTAGATGTCCGTATCTAGATCCCAATGCGTTTCCCAGGTAGTTTTCTTTAGGTCCCGTACCGTTCTTTTGAAACCATGACCCCAACGCTTGTTTTTATCATGTGGAAGTCGAGTGGGATCCATGTGATAGTTATGTGTGATCTGAATGGATCTGTACAAGAAATACAGGTGGGCAATGCACATGGGGCCCAAGAGCAGCCCGCAGAGAGCTCCGAGCGCCCACTGGCCCGCTGGGCGGGTCGCCGCCGTCGCCAAGAATCGACGCGGCGGGGAAGACACCCGCGTCAGCCTCGAGTTCACCTGGAGGGTTCAGCGTAGATGGGCTGCGCAAGTCAGCGGACCGGGCCCCTGGCGCCCAGGGGGCTGTCGAGCGGAACCCAGCCACACGCGTCACGGGCGTTCGAGCCCATTCTCTCCACACGCGCAACGGAGGCCTCCACGTCGAGCCGGCGAAGCGCGTGGCAGCGACCAGAAGCGCGTCGTCACAGTTGTTTGAGATCGCGGGGGATTTTGAATGACGGCCCCCCATGCCTCCTTGCTGCAACTCCCGTGGCGACGGCGACGTCGACGGCACTGGCTACTGCAGGAAAGGGAAGAGAATGGTGGGAGGAGGATCGCATGTTTGCTCGGGCGCTCGTGCGCGCATGTCCGCCCATGAGAAAGGCGCGCGCAGTTGTTCCTGGCGACGGCAGAAGTGGCGTGCAATCGGTCGAGCTCAACGAAGCGCTCGCCCACCGCGCGCATTTGGTGGACGTTGAACTCCCAGTGCAAGTTGCGAGCCGCAGGTGCCAACCTGGGAACGCGTGGGAGCGCCTTGCGGCGCCTCGAGAGCGCCCGGGGCCCTCGCAAGCGACTGGGAGCCTCTGGGGAAGGGCCTCGCAGGGCCTCGAGAAGCTCGGGGGGCGCATAGGAGCGCGCTAGGAAAGCTTCGTGCGACATATTGAGTCTGTTTTCAGAGATGCTCCCTTCATAGATCCCAATACTCTTCCCAGATAGTTTGCCCTAGATCCCATATTGTTTTTATTGTTTTATTTAAACCAGGACTCCAACGCTTGTTTATAGTATACGATGATTTTACACAGGTATATGTATATACATATATATATATATACACGCAAATAACCTATATATATGTACAGGTCTATGGAGTTGTACGTATATATATATATACACATGTATGCATGTATGTATGGATGGATGGATGCATGTATACTCGTATGCTTATATGAAGGTATGTATGCATGTATGTGTGTGTATGTGCGTATATATGTATATGCCTGTGTAAATCGGTATGGATGCCTTCAGGTATATATGGTCCAGGGCTTGGGCCCCCCCCCCCCCCCCCCCCAATGCTGATGCCATTGGGCCCCCCCCCCCCGCGCGATGGTCCCCCCCGCCCCCCCCTGTGGGCGTGGCGTGGTGCTGCGCTGCGGTGCCCCCCTCCCCCCCCCTGTGGATGTGGTGTGGTGCTGTGGTGGTTCAGAGGTGGGCGTGGCGTGGTGCTGCGCTGCGGTGCCCCCCTCCCCCCCCCTGTGGATGTGGTGTGGTGCTGTGGTGGTTCAGAGGTCGTCGTCGTCGTCCTCGTCGTCCTCGTCGTCCTCGTCGTCGTCGTCGTCGTCCTCGTCGTCGTCGTCGTCGTCGCCGTCGTCATCGTCGTCATCGTCGTCGTCGCCGCCGCCGCCGGCGTCGTCGCCGCCGCAGCCGTCGTCGTCGTCGTCGTGGTCGTCGTCATCGTCGTCGTCGTCGCCGTCGTCGTAGTTGTCGCCGTCGTCGTCGTCGTCGTCGTCGTCGTCGTCGTCGTCGTCGTCGTCTCTGGGACCATACCATCTGGGGGGGGGGGCCCGAGGAATCCTGGGACCATACCATCTGGGGGGGAGGGGGGGGGCCCGTGGGCCCGGAGCCCGGGATCATATATGTACACATGTGCGTGTATGTATGTATGTATGTATGTATGTATGTATGTATGTATGTATGTATGAATGTATGTATGTACGTATGTATGTATGTATGTATGTTTGTATGTATGTATGTATGTATGTATGTACGTATGTATGCATGCATGCATGCATGCATGCATGTATGTATGTATGTATGTATGTATGTATGTCATGTCATGTCATGCCATGTCATGTCATGTCATGTCATGTCATGTCATGTCATGCCATGTCATGTATGTCATGTATGTCATGTATGTCATGCATGTATGCATGTATGTATGTATGTATGTAGGTAGGTATGTATGTATGTATGCGTGTACGCATGTACATGTGTATGTATGCATGCATGCATGCATGTGTACATGCATGCATGAATGCATGTATGTATACATGGATGCATGTGTGCATGCTTGCATGCATGTGTGTATGTACATGTGCATATATGTCTGTATGCTTGTAGGTATGTGTGAATGTATGGGTGTGCGTGTGTGTATGTGTGTAGTTATGTATGTCTGTCTGTATGTATGTATACATGTATGTATGCATGTATGTATGTATGTAGGGAGGTAGGTAGGAAGGTGTGTATGTATGTATGTATGTATGTATGGATGTATGGATGTATGCATATATGTATATGTATATGTATATATATATATATATGGGTGTGTGTATGTACGTATGTACGTATGTACGTCTGTACGTCTGTACGTCTGTACGTCTGTACGTCTGTACGTATGTACGTATGTACGTATGTACGTATGTATGTATATGGACCCTCTAACAGGATTTTCGAGTCCAGGGGGGTGAGAACGCGGGAGGGGGGACAGCCAATCGTTTCACACGCCGCGCCACCCCTGGCAAGCGGGGGTCGGCGGATTCTGTGAGGGCACTCATGATGTCTACATGATGGGTCACCTTAGGGGGGTCTTGATCTCCTTTGGGCCGCCTTGAGCACTCTTGTGCCCGTCTTGGCCGTCTGGGCAAGTTCTGGAGGCTGTTTGGGGACCCTCATAGGGGTCCTCTTGGGCAGCCTTGGGCCTTGTGGGCTGTCTCGGGGCCCTCAGGGGCAATGTTTGGGCCCTCTTTGGGATGTCCTTGGACATCCAGGAAACTTCTTGGGTCCCCTCATAGGGTTCTTTGTTTTCTCTTTTGCGCATCCGAGGCTTATCTTGGGCCGAGGGACCCGGGAAACCAGCACATTGAACCATCGTCGCACATCCCAAGGCTTTGCATGACTTTGGCCTTCCTGGGGAGCCTCTCGGGGCCCCTTGGCGTCTCTGCGGGTCTTCTTGGTGGCTGCTGGGTGCCTCTTGAGGTAATGTTGGGACATCTTGGTGGCAGCCTTTCTGACCTTCCTGGGCCGTCCTCGAACTCTAGGGGAGCACTGGAGAGTCCCATGGAGGCCTCGAGCCGTCCAGGGAGACTCGGGAGGGGGGGATGTACGGAGGGGCGCGTGCTTCGTGGGTGGTGGTGGTGGTCCTTAGAGGACTTGCTGGAACCCTGTCAGGAAACACTGGGTACTCTGCCACGGCTCAACACGCCAGGGGGCACGGCGGCGGATGAGTTACGGCACCCGTCGTGGTCGTCGTGAACTTCGGTCGGTCGGCACCTCTTTGTCCACCCCTTCCTTACGGTCCTCTGTGGAGGGGGGGGGGGGAATCGACGAGCGATGGTGCGGCCTTTCTCTCCCGCCCCGTGCGGCGCCAGGCTTGGCAACTCGCCGCCCGCGGCGCAGCTGGCGTCGTGGAGGGCCGGGCCCGAGGCTAGCGGCTAGGGGGTGGAGGCGGCAGGGAAGGGAGGGAGGGAGGGAGGGAAGGAGTGCGAGAGGGTGCTGGAGGCGGGGCCCTGGTATGGAGGGGGAGCAGCGGGAGAGGATGCCAGGATGCCAGGATGCGAGGCCGGCCCCCGCGCGCGCCCGCCCACGCCGGGGCACGGGGTCCAGGCAGGGCGGCACACCGGGCGCCAGTGACGACGACGACGACGACGGCGCCGACGACAACGACACGACCGACTAGGACTGGAGGGAGGTGGGGAGGGCAGTGAGTGAGACGGGGAGGGCAGTGCGGGCAGAGAAGGAAAGGGAACACTGGGAGGGGGCGAGGAGGACGACGGGGATGCGCAGGCGACGGCACACATGTCTGTCGACTTTTACGGTACTGGAGAGGCTGCTGTCGGCGTTTTGGGGGAGCTCGCCACTTCCGGCCAAATCTGACACTTGTGTTCCTAAGATCGCCGTTCCGAACGCCACCGACATCAAACATTTCCCCGCGCGCACACAGTTGTAGAGATGCATGCGCAAATATGCTTGCATACATACGTGTGTAACAATGTACACCAGCCTTAACCGTTCTAACAAAGCAACAGTGATAGAGGCGGGGAAGATGAGGATGATGAGGAGGAGGAGAAGGAGAAGGATAATAATGATAATAATAATAATACGAATAATAATACTACTACTACTAATAATAATGATATTAATACTAATACTAATACGAATACTAATACTAATAATAATAATAATAGTAATAATACTAATAATACTAATAATAATAAGAATACTAATACTAATAATAATAATAATAATCATAATAATAATAATAATGATAATAATAATAATAATCATCATAATAATGTTAATAATAATGATGATAAGAATAATAATAATAATATTAATAATAATAATACTAATAATAATACTAATAATAATATTAATATTATTAATAATAATAATAATAATAACAATAATAATTATAATAATAATAATAATAATAATAATAAAATAATAATGAGGAGGAGGAGGAGGAGGAGGAGGAGGAGGAGGGGAGGACAAGCTAGGTGCGCTCGCGTCATATCTGACGTCCTACCCCTCCCTCCCATCCCTTACCATGGCGCTGATTTTCTCTATCCGCGGACGCGTGTCGTAGCGGACCTGTGGCTCCGCGCGCGCGTGCGTAGTGGGTGGTGGTGCGCGTGCGTGCGTGCGTGCGTGCGTGCGTGCGTGCGTGCGTGTGTGCTGTGTGGTGTGGTGTGGTGGTGCTGGTGGTTGGTGGTGGTGGTGGTGGTGGTGGTGGTGGTGGTGGTGGTGGTGGTGGTGGTGGTGGTGGTGGTGGTGGTGGTGGTGGTGGTGGTGGTGGTGGTGGTGGTGGTGGTGGTGGTGGTGGTGGTGGTGCGGCGCGGTGGTGGCGGGCGGATGGGCGCGCGAGAAAGAGGCCCGCGCTGGGGCGAGAACGCCATCCTCAACGACGGAGGCCAAACACCGATCCGAAAATGAGGCCCACGCTGCAGCGGGAGCACGATTCGGAACGATTCGGGAGCAGAAATGAGGCCGGCGCCTCAGCGAGAGCAGCATTTTAGAAAAAAACACAAGCGAAAACCCAACTCCGGGGAATCCTGTGTGTAAAAAAACAGTACGCGGGGGGGTGCCGAATATCTTCCGGACGCCATCAGGGGAAGTGGGAGAGTATTTTCATATTGTGTAATTGTGGAGGAGGAGGAGGAGGAGGAGGAGGAGGAGGAGGGAGGGAGGAGGAGGAGGAGGAGGGGGAGAACAGGGGAGGGAGGAGCAGGATGAGGAGGAGGACAAGGAGGCGGGGGAGGAGGACAAGGGAGGGAGGGAGGAGGAGGAGGAGGAGGAGGAGGAGGGTGTAATGATCAGATATTTATATTGTGAGCTTCTGGCTTTTGCTCCCGGTCCTCCGCAGCGTCGCCGGCTGGCGGCGGGCTGGGCGCAGCGTGCGCCAGGCCACTTCCACAGGGGCCAGCCGCGGCGTCGTATCCCTCGGCGGCGCTCCGCTGGCTGGCTGCGAGCCCGAGGCCTTCGGCCCGCGAGACGAGACGCCCCGGGGAGGGAGCGGGAGGAGGGAGCTCCTCCTTCTCCTCGTCCTCCTCCTCCTCCGCCTCCGCCTCCGCCGCCGCCGCCCCCTCCTCTTCCTCCTCCTCCGCCGCCGCCGCCGCCTCCTCCTCCGCCGCCGCCTTCTCCTTTTCCTCCTCCTCCTCCTCCTCCGCCTCCTCCTCCTCCGCCTCCTCCTCCTCCTCCTCCTCCTCTTCCTCGTCCTCCTCCTCCTCCTCCAGGGAGGGTGACTGGACTTTCTGTTAGCTTTGCTCAAAACTTAGGGCCAGATGTGCCCAGACTGGCAGACCTCTTTCTCGATTCGAGGCGGCAGCCCTCGTCCCCGTCGTGTGCGCCCAGCTGCGGCGCAAGTTCGCTTCATGGGGGACAGGCCCGGTGCGCAGCCCACGTGCGAGGAGGGAGAGTGGCCTGGGAGCGTTGGGTGCAAGCGTTTCAGACGAGTGGTGCGCGGCGCTCAGGCGATATCCGAGCAAGAATAGCCCCCTCGGTCTTGGTAGCTGTTGAGGATTTCAGGCTGAAAGGCCGTGAGAGTGTTTCAGGCGAAACGCCCGGCCCGCCATCCCAACACGTCTGGCGGCGCGACAAGCAGGAGCCATCTGTCAGGAAAATGATGTGAGGAGCAGGAGGGGGAGGAGGAGAACGATTTTGTTCAGAGGCCGAAGCGTCCCTAAACCTCGACACTCACTTCCTCCGAGGAATCGACGGTCGCGGCTCTTCTCCGTATTCTGCGCATGGAGTTAGTGTTCGCCTACGCAGGCACGCTCACATTCAGGTTCACTTGCATTCGAAATCGATTTTTTGTTCTAGTCATGGGGCTACTGTCCACAATGTCCTGAGTATGAGGCTGTTGCCATTATCCATGCCATAGCGTGTCGCGGGTGTGGCCCCGGCGACACGCGATGTGTTGCGAGCGGACAGTGTGTCGCTCCGCTCCGCGGGGTGGGAGTCCCGGAAAGGCTCGGGACGTTGACGCTTGGGGGCCAGGACGTGGATAGCGTGTCACGCCGAAGCGTGGTGGGCCAGAACCGGCGGAACAACACGCGGAGCGCCCACGCCTTCTCACTTCCCTCCCGCCGCGCACCGTCACTCCTGTTCGAACCCCCCCACACGGTCGACACACCCACACCCAGGTTCACTCGTACTCAGACGCGCTTATAGATCTAGTGGCCTTCGGCCCATCATCCCGCCATCGTGCCTGGGTTGTGGGTTAGAGACCTAGGATGTCCGTTTGGATACCGTGGTAGGCCTCTCGGGGGTCTCTTGGAGGCAGTTGTGAAGCCTCCTGAGGGCCGTTTTGGGGCCTCTTGGGTCCTATTTTTGGGCCTCTTTGGGGCCTGCCTCTTTCGGGCCTCTTGGGGGCCTCTTGGAGGTCTCTTGGGGCCTCCTGGGGGCTTCTTGGGGCGGAAGGCTCGAATTGTCGGTTCGTGTTTCCCTTCTTGGGCCACTCTTGGAGCAGTCTTGGGGCTCTCTTGTGCCGTCTTGGGCGCCTCTTGGGCGCCTCTTGGGCCGTTTTGGGGCTCTCTTGGGCCGCCTTGGGGCCCTCTTGGGGGCCTCCTGGGCTGCCTTGGGGCGGTCTTGGGGGCCTCTGGCGCCAGCCTGGAGCGTCGGACGCCCGAAAGCGCGAGAACGCGAACAAAAACATTCAAAGACACAAGGAACATACGTGATGTGTGCATCTTGGGGACATCTTGGAGGTCTTCTTGGAGGTCCCCATCCTCCTTGGCCTCTGCGGCCCAAAATACGTATGCCCTTCGTGGCCCCCCCTCGTTCGCGCCCGTCGTGGCCCCATATGCATGCCCTTCGTGGCCCCGCTGTCGCCCTTTGTGGCCCCCTCGCTTCCCCTCGTTGGCAGTTGCTACCCTCAGTGGCCCCGTCGTTGCCCTCTGTGGCCACGCATTATCTGCTATTCGTGGCCCCCGCTCGTTCGCGCCCATCGTGGCCCCATACGCATGCCCTTCGTGGCCCCGCTGTCGCCCTTCGTGGCCCCCTTGCTGCCCTCCGTGGCCCCATCACTGCCCTTCGTGGCCCCGCTGTCGCTCTCGCTCTCGCTCTCGCTTCCGCTCGTCGTCGTCATCGTCGTCGTCGTGGTCGGTTCACTGTCCGTCCCTCTTGGGGTCGGGCTGCCGCCGGTCAGCGCTGCCGCTGGCCAGGCCGACGGTCCGTGGCCGCCCCGCTGCTTGCTGGGGCCTGGCCTGCAGGGAAGAAAGATATACCCCCCAAAGGGGATACGATCGAAAACGGAGAGGGCGGGTATTGAGGGTTTGGGACATGCACGTTGAATGACACTCGAGCAGATAAGAGCGAACAGTCTTAAACTTGTTGTTGTTGCTGCTGTTGCTGTTGAGTTTTTACTATTGAAAAAGTGTGGATCCCATCTCCAGGGCACACTATGTTCTTCGAACTGAAGTGTCCCTTCTGGCGATCGCCCCTAGTTTTTGATCACGGAAAGTTCTGGGTTTCAGAATTGTGCTTTGGGCACCCGGTGTATAACAACAACGGCTTCCGCCGATGACTTCTTCACAATTTGTTCTCGAATCGCGCTCTCCCGCGGGACATTCTCACACGTTATACAGGAATCGCGCTCTCGCGTTGTACTCCCTCAAACCAATTATTCAGACGCCGCGCCCTCGACACTCAGGAATCACGCTCTCGCTGTGGAATTTCTCAGGATTCATTTGGGAATCGCGCTGTTGCTCGAGCCTTCCTCACGCAGTAATCACGCTTAAAAACCGCCTGCTCGACCTGGCCGCCTGGGCCCGCCTTCCCGACCCGCCCGTTAGGGTCCACCCGCCCGTCGGGCTCTGCTACGTGATTTCTGCTCCTGGCCCCCCTCCTGCTGATCCTGTGTTTCGTCCTCCACCCTCCCCACTGTCCCTTCCTTCCATCCGTCCTCTCTTTCCCTGCCTTCGTGGCTGCACAACATACACGTTGCAGGTAAGAGAGGTATAAACCCCCAAGGGGGTACGATCGAGCACGAAAATGGCTGGTATCGAGGGTTTGGGATAAACGTGTTGAATGGCCCGCGAGTAGATGAGGGCGATCATTCTTACACATATGGCGGTTGTTATTATTGTTGTTGTTGGTGGTGGTGGTGGTGTTGGTGTAGGTGTTGTTGTTGTTGCTGCTGTTGTTGCGGATGTGTTTGTTGGTGTTGTTTTAGTTTTTGCATTTCACAGAAGAAGTATTGTTGATCCCCCCTGCCCGGTAGCCATTGTACTTGTCGGTCATAAGTCGGGTCTGGCACTTTGTTCTTTTTTACAAGAGAAAGCGAGGTGTCACCAAACTGCGTTGTTGGTCCCCGAACCACAACAACGGCTCCCGCCTGATACTTTCTCACAATGTATTCCCAAATCGCGCTCTCGCGCTTAACATTCTCACAATTTATAGAGGAAGCGCGTGGGACTTCTCCACCATGTATTCAGACGCCGCGCCCTCGACACTCAGGAATCACGCTCTCACTTTGGATTTCCTGGCAATTCATTTGGGAATCGCGCTATCGCTCGAGACTTCCTCGCGATTCATGCAGGACGCACGCTTCAGCAATCCTCCTGCTCGACCTGGCCGCCTGGGCCCGCCTTCCCTACCCGCCTGTTACGGTCTACCCGCCCGATCTGCCCGTCTGATGTTGCCACGTATTATCTGCTCCTAGCCCCCTCTCCTGCTGCTCTCTCTCTCTCTCTCGTGTTCCATCCTCCTCCTTCCCTCTTGCCCCTTCCTTCCATCCGTCCTCTTTTCCCCTGCCGTGGGGGTTGCAAGAATACACGTTGCAGGTAAGGAAGATATGCCCCCAAGGGGGTACGATCGAAAACGAAAAGAGCGGGTATCGTGGGTTTGGGATATACGTGTTGAGTGGCCCGCGGGCAGATCAGAGCGAACTGTCTTGAAATGTTTTGTTGTTGTTGTCTTGGAACTCTTACTACTGAGAGCTTTTTTAAATCCCCCCTCCAGGGCGCATGTTTTTAGTTGAAGTGCGTTTCCTGGGGCTCGCACCCGGTTTTCTTACCAGGGCTAGTTTTGAATCTCAGAATTGGTCTGTTGCATCCCAGTTTACAGCAACAGCGGCTCCCGCCTGATACTTCCTCGCAATGTATTCCCACATCGCGCTCTCGTGTGGGACTTCTTCACCATGTATGCAGAAATCGCGCTCTCGCGTGTGACTTCCCCGTGTTTGTTTTGTCAGACGCCGCGCCCGCGACACTCAGGAATCACGCTTTCGCTTTGGCTTATCTCACGATATATTTTGGAGCCGCGCAATCTCGCGAGATTTCCTCGCGATTCATGCAGGACGCACGCTTCAGCAATCCTTCGACCTGGCCGCCTGGGCCCGCCTTCCCGACCCGCCTGTTACGGTCTACCCGCCCGATCTGCCCGTCTGGTTCTGCCACGTGTTTTTTGCTCATAGCCCTTCCTGCTACTCTCTCTCTCTCTCTCTCTCTCTTTCTTTCGTTCGTGTTCCATCCTCCTCCCTCCCCCTTGTCCCTTCCGTCCGTCCTCTACTCTCCTGCCGCAGGGGCTGCATGAAATACACGTTGCAGGTAAGGAAGATATGCCCCCAAGGGGGTATGATCGAAAACGAAAAAGGCGGGTATCGTGGCTTTGGATATACGTGATGAGTGACCCGCGAACAGACAAGAGCGAACAGTCTTGAAATGTTTGTTGCTGTTGTTGTTGGACTGTCACTACTGAAAACAATTATTGTTGATCCCCCCTCCAGGGCGCATGTTCTTACTTGAAGTGCGCTTTCTGGCGCTCGCACCCTGTTTCTTTACCAGGGAAAATTTCGAAGATCAGAATTCGTCTGTTGGCTCTCCGTTTGCAGCAGCAGCGGTTCCCGCCTGATGCTTCCTCACAATATATTCCCAAATCGCGCTCTCGTGCGGGACTTCCTCACCATGTATGCAGAAAACGCGCTCTCGCGCGGGACATCCTCGTAATTTTTCTGTCAGACGCCGCGCCCGCGACA